GCCACGCTTGCAACTGCTTTACAAGAGCAATGGCTCTCACTTCCTATTGAACTGATAGACCGCATAATTGAAAGCATCACACATCGCTGTTTGTGCTGTATTGCTTCTAGAGGCAATCATATTCCATATTAAAGGTACTTTTTCTATTGCAAACCGATACTTCCAATTTGTTTATTTTATACATGTGCTAATTTCTATACTACTATTAATGTCTGATAATTTCTTTTTATGTTGTTTAATACCTTACTATGTGTTGTATATTGTGGGTAAGTTTCATAAAATTCCATGTGTAATTGAAAGAGTTATCGCGATTTTTGTGAATTTTCCTTAATTTATGATAACCAGTGTAATTAAACTAGCAGACATAATTTTTACATATTTCCGTCATCCAAATAAATATTCATCTGCAATCGCTGTTGTGCTGTACTTGATAATTATCATTATAGACAATAGTCCCGATATTATCGTATTCGATATTTATCATTGTCTGTAATTAGTGCGATATTATCATATTCGATAAGCAACGTTATATATATTACTAGAAATCTTAATTAATATTTATCATCGCATCATACTTGATATAATAATCACGATAAAATGATATTTGATAATAACTGTTTTCTATAATACTCGTAGCATTATTTAATATTTATCTTTGCGTTGTATTTTCGATGTTTAACGCAGTTGATAATATCGTTGTCAATAATTATCATATATTCGATATTTATATTGAGAAGAGATGTTTATAATATATCATTACTATGCTTTTTTAAATACTGATTTCACGGTGTTGAAAAATTTCCCGATGTATGGTTCAGATTTTACTAATATTATACTTAAAGGTGCAAATTCTATTTCCATAATTATTCCTACGTGTTCTGAATTAAAATATTCAGGGCCGGAATAGCCTGGTCGGTAGGGCGCTGGGCCCATGTCCGAGAGTTCGTGGATTCGAACCCCACCGGCGGAAGAAGTGACTGAAGTAAAGCGTAGTAAAGTAACTGTGGTAAAGTGACTGATGCACGTTAAATCTGTCGAGTCGCAAAAGTCCTCCATGTTCTATAAACAAATGCGACGTATGGTGTGGCATAAGTCGAATTCTTGGCCATAGATGGCGCCACTGAAAAACAAGAACAATCGCATCCCCTCTGCCTAAACAGGCATACGTCAACAACGACATTAAAATATTCTAAATGATTCTTACATTCTAAATTTTTATATTTTTTTGCACCGTTTCGTTCATATACATAAATGTTAAGCAGCTTACTTAATTTACTTAATTCAAAACTTTTATTTTTTAGACATGGAAACTGATTCGCAGTGCAACCTTAACCACCTGTCGCTATATCGGAATGGGTGTTGCTCACATGAGTCCAGTCGCTTCCTATGGATCTCCTGATTATTGTGTTGATCCAAAAACTTGGAATAAATCTTTCAACAGAAGCGTAAAGAACATGCCACCTCATCACCAAACTGGCCACTGGACCAACACCATGATGTTCTCAAGTTGGTGAAGTCAACGGCAAAGTTAGAAACTATAAGCCCAAGAATATTCATACATATGCTCTACTTTAAGTGATCAACAGCTTTATGGTTCATGTGGAACTGCTTGTGCTCTAATCAGCGCAGCTATCAAAAACTCAAAACGTGCTCTTGATGGCATGTATCTTGACGGCATGTATATCCACATGAACAGTGTTATCTAGTCTGAGGGAAAGTTGCTCATTGAATCAAAATGAGTGATTTTTTTAAAACTTTCTTTGCTTTCATTTTTTAATTTTTTTAAAAAAAAAATTGATGTACGTTTATTTTGTAATGTTGAGTGTTGTGTTTGTATTTTAAATGAGTGCTGTAATTTAGCTTCAAAAGCTTTAATCTCTTGTAAATAGTGAATATAGCATAAAAAACCTGAAAAAGCACGCTAACGCTATACAGTGGTTTCGGTTCTATAATGAAGAATCTTCATCAGAGACCAAAGACAAAAATAATACAGCTTCTAAGTTTGGACGCTGGTGAAAGTTCTTAAGAAGATTAACTTTCATCAGAGACCAAATACAGAAATAACACAGATTATAGGTGTGGACACTGTTGATGGTTCTTCATTGTAGGTTATTCGGAACCATATTACATATGTTTATGTAATATAAAAATAGTATTTGTGTTTTTTTTTTTTTGAAGAAAAAAAGAATTTTAGATTTATTTAAACACAGCAAACACAAAGTTAACCCTATCTTCAAATAGATCTTCTAAAGAGTGTTGATTTTTTAATTATTTAATCTTATATTTCTTTTCTTAAAATGCCTATTTCTTATTGAATTATAAAATTCTTTTGGTAGAAAATGAACTTAAGAATATATTCTAAAAGTATGCTATAAGCTATAAAGGGCTTTGGAAAAATTATTTTTAAAAACATTGTGCAAAATAATTAAAAGTTTATAATGCTTTGTAAATTAGGAAGTTACGTAATTAATTGTTATAATAATCCAGTTTTCTGGAATCTATAGCTTATTTTATACAAACTTATTGTATAAAGAATTATTAAACATATACTCTAGATAGTTCTAAATAATAAAAATACTTAAGGAAATTATTTTTCTGATATTATTTATTTATTTCATGGAATGTTTTTAGTAGTTAAAAAATATTCTCATGATACTCTTCAGGGAAAGATAAAAAAAATTATGCTATATTAAAAAAGAGTTTGAGCTAAAAAAAGAAGAAATGTTAAAAAAAATCATGTGATATAAATGCACCTATAATTATCACATAATTTTTTATGTAAAGAAACTATGAATTTTATGATACCGTTTACTTAAAAAAAATTTTTTTTAACTGTAGATCAAATTAAAAACTATTTGTATTTTTATTATTAGGAAAAAAATACCTTAAACCACTTATTATCTGAAGATTTTTATATATTTTCTCTATTTAATTGATTTTTAAACAAATTTATTTATTGTTAAACTGATATTAAACAGCTTTAACGAGATCACGTATATTAAAAAGTTCATAATAATAAATGATATTAAACTTTTATAAAAATATTTTAGTCCTGTTTTGCAAAAGGATTATGATCATTTTAAAATCCTTATCTCTTGATTTTAAATATCCTTTACTAGATGCATAATAATAGGAATCGGTGAATTAAGTGGTTTGTATATTGAAAACCTATTTGACCTTAAAAGTATTACAATTATTTTAAAGAGTTTATCACTTAGTTTGAGTATAGTTGATTATAAGCTGGAGTTTCAAGGTTTGGAGTGCATAAAACTCTATTGAAACTGAATAATTGAATTGTTCCTATTTTTAATTGTATAATTTTGTTTAAAATAAATACAATTTATTATTATCAAGATAATTATTTGCGACTGGTTTGTGTTGATTTTTTAAAAAATTTTCTGAAATGGTTTAAAAATATATGTATAAAAGGAATGAAAATATATAATTTTGTCTTCAATCACTATTTTTTTTCAAACTATTTGTGGCAATTATTAATTAATTTCATATTATTTTATTTTCATGAAATTTTTACTTTCTTAATTTTTTTATATAATCATTAATGTTGTAGGGAGATGATTTCATTTCGTTTAGTGTATTATTCAGCATTGTTGTAAATATGCTTGTAATTTTTTAATAAAGATTTTATGTTCTTTTTTATTGATCGCATAAATTTTTTTCCAAATTAGTAAAAATGATGAATGCAAAATGGAAACAAATATGATAGATGTTTTGTTTTTATTTTCAAAATAGTGACGAAATATTTAAAATTCACTTCATTTAGCATGAAAATATTTAAGAAACGAATTAAGATATGTGCAGGTGTTTTAATTACAGAAACACGAGAGATTTGACATAAATTATTATTATAACTAACTCCTATTTTCAAAAAAAATAGCAAAAAAAGAAAAAAAAGTTATCGAGCGTTCACTTTTTTTCTGTTCTTATTGTTTGCTACCAGATAGAATATAATGCTGACAAGAGTTATGTTNTATATAGCCGTCGTTGACTAATGTGTTCATTATTCAACTACGTAGCCTTTTGATTTTTAACTCCTGGATCAAGTATTGGGAGAAATTTGCCATCATGGCGGACTTTTTGATGAAACTAACCCGCATTTACGTTACATGGAGAGAAAAACTACGAAAACCTCCCACGGTTAGCCTGACGGCAAGGGGACTCTAACCCATGATCTGTCTACCACTGAGGATATTTTACATTAGCATTGTGGTCGGTGCAAGCCGGATGCGCAATTCGGATCGGCCAGCCATTTGGAGGGCGAACACTCTAAAAAAAAGTTATCTTTGGGCAGTTCTAAAGGGTAAGAGCATAAGAATGAGAAGTTCGTCGTTTGAGAGTTAGTAATAGAGAGTCGAATAGTTCCTGCGAAATTGAACTTTAAAAATGCCGAATATTTAAAGCTCGATTTCTCAGGTACTGTTTGCTTTTTTTTTGAGCGATTTTGCTTCAATTTCGTACTGTGCCATTTGAAATTACATTCTTTTAAAATTATAAAAAAAAGTTGTACACCTTACGACTTAAAAGATTTCTGGCCATTTATTATTCACAAAATAATAAATATTTACTGAAAGTTATTTTTTGCAGTTATTATTTATCTTTGGATAAAAGAATTCTATAATTTTGAGCTATAAATTTTCAATTCGTTAATGAAACCTTTGAGATGCGGCGAAGAACGCAAAAAGTAAAATTAACATAAAGGGGTTCAAACTTTGGACAGCTCTCTTGACCAAAGTATTTGGAACCATATTTTCCAGATTGCGGCTACTTCCTCTATTTTGAGGGACGGAAAGCCGAATATGGAGAAAAAAATTTACGGTTATGCAAAGAAAGTACGTTTTTATATCTGATTTCGTAACTTAGAATATCGTACGCACTATTTAATTGGCATATTTGAAGTCACCCCCTCAAGCCATTAAGATCGAGTCCTAGAACCAAAAGATCTGATCATTACATCAAAAACTATTGAAAGAGCTTCGTTTATTTTGTGAGCACTGTTTATCTCAGAAGCTACGGTACCATTTAAAATTGTAACACGAATAAAAATTATTTATCTTGAAAAAATGATAAAGTCTGTGGTTCAAATATATTTGACAGATTTTATTTTAAATATTCATTGTATCACATATTAGGTCACTTTTTTCACAAGAAAAGAATAAGAATAAATATAAAATGAAATAAATAAAAAAATAAAATAAATGAAAAAAATAAATAAAAAAATAAGATAAATTTTAAGAAAATGAATAAATAATAAAAATAAATAAATACATGCTTAAATTTGATGGCAACTTAATATAAATTCCCATCTGAACAGGAAAGTTTATGATGCCATTTCGAAGAGTCGCCTGAATACGAACTATTTCGCTTGCTATATTGAAAAATCGCAAGGGCCGCCACAGCTGTTTTGGGCCTTTAACTTAGAGTTACATTTTGTCTTAAGTCTAATAAGATTAAAATAGTTGAAATTACGACAGGTTGCACAAAAATGTACAAGGGTGTACGAAGAAATGAAAAAATTAACATTCGTCAATTAGTTCGAGAATTATTAATAGTTAAACCACCATGTTAAGCCGATCTGTTTCTCCCTGAAATGTAAATAGGGAATCAAAATTTGATCTGCTGAATGATCTATTTTTACTTGCGAACTTAAAGCAATGTTTATTTCGAAATTCCAATTTGTTTTGAAGCTATTGTAAATTCAAAATCTTTTCCCGTATCTTTTCCAGCATTAATTTTTTATCTATTGCTGTAGATAGCAAGATCGTAAGTTGTCTGGTATAAATCTTAACATTTATGTTGCCATTTATAAAAAAAAGAACTTAAGCGATAAAAATTATTCCTTAATAGAAATGTTATAAGTCTCGACAACGTACAAAATCACTACTCATTTATTTCTTACAGAGTCAAACAATCTGCATTCCATAGGTTCATTTTTTTCTTTTCAAATAGAGATGATTATTTTTCAAATCCAGGTAATCGTTCATATAGTTTCACTTAAAATATTACAAAAAATTTCTTACATAAAGCTACAATAATTGTATATTTTAAAAATAAATTGTTTTAATGAAAAATATTGACGTTTAAGGAAAAGAAAAACGATAAATGAGAAGCAATTGCAGGGGATGTGAGCGGAGCGAGTAGAGGCCATAGCCTTTTTATATATTTTTAAAAAAAAGTTTCATGGTGAGGATATTTTTAATAATTTTTTTAAGTTGCCACTGTAACACTACATATTAGGGCACCTATTGAAGAGCAGAAAGGGTTAAACTTGCTCGTCAGAATCAATGATTGCTGAATCATTTAATAAATGACACAATTAAAACTCATTTACTAAGATGTTTAAAAAACCCAGGAAGCCAGCACATATTTTTTTTAAAAAACTAATTAGCCATTTTATTATTACAATCATTGCAGAATGGTTTAGGGTAGAATGGTGTAAGGAGTACAAGGGCTATATTTGGTAACACGCAAATTCAATAATTGTAAAACAATAAAAACAAACAATATGATGGTACATTATTTATTGGGCTGCCCTATATGCCTTCCATTCTGATACGTTGCCTTCCATCACACACAATCTAAATTATTCTGAATGATTAAGGTCTCATATATTGGTCAGGCAGAAATTCATATCAACATATTAGTTCATATTTTCAGAAGAAAAAAAAAGATAAGCTTTTGATACTTTACTGACTTTTTCGAAAAATGTAAATTTCATGACTAAAGAACAAGGTGTCATTTTAATTAAATACACAAATAGAAACTTTTGAACTCAAAAAAAGTAAGAACTTTGCAAGGCAAATATCTTTATATTATTATTATTTTGTGCAATGCTTTCTTACAAGCTTAATTCGTCTGCTACTTTCTTGGATTTCAGACGAATTTAAAAGAGTGACATATAAAAGTCATATAAAAGAATGACATAAACAGAAATTACTCATATTAAAACATAAAATATCCTTGCGTGTACATTTATTAATTTCTCCATTTAATTACTTTATATTAAGAATTTTTTTTTTAAATTAACACTTTTTCTTACTGTTATTCTCATAAAAATTTGCCTTTCAGATGCAAAGTATTTGGTAGAATATGGCAGGAAAGGAGATTAACTATTTCGAAATATAAAATATCCGGTGATAATTTTGATAAATTTTTTGAGCCTATTTTACATCTTCAAGTAAAAAAAAAATTCTCCATAACAAAATTTTTTTATTTTTGACTGCTATATTCATAAAAATTTACTTTTCATAAGCAAAGTGTAGAAAGTATTTTAAAGAGCGACACGAATAGACAGTAGGACAATTTTTCATAAAAAAAAAGAAAGCTAATGCTTGATTGTTACTTTTATAAAATTTCTAATCACCGAAACAAAAATTGCGGCACCATTGTAGAAAGTGACACAATTCAACTGGATCACAAAAAAAGTAGAATAGTTTTGAACAAATTTATTATTCTGTATCACTACGTATTAAAATACTTTTATACGAAAATAAATAAATAAATAAATCATGGTTATGTTAGACTGATACTTTCATAAAAATTTTCTATTAAGAAGTGAAGTTTAGGTGATATTTTAAAGAGGAACACGAAAAAAAAAATCTAAAAATATTAAAAGTTCCTTCATGCGAATACTATTATTCAAAACAATATTCTATTTATTGTATCATAAAATCTCCATCATGCGAATACTATTATAAAAAACAATATTCTATTTATTGTATCATAAAAGCTCCATCATGCGAATACTATTATAAAAAACTATATTCTATTTATTGTATTATAAAAGTTCCATCACGTGAATACTATTATTAAAAACAATATTCTATTTATTGTATCATAAAAGCTCCATCATGAGAATACTATTATTAAAAACAATATTCTATTTATTGTATCATAAAAGCTCCAATATTTTTATTGTATCATTACATAAGAGGCCATTTTAAGCAAAAAATAACACAGAAAAAATGTTTATGGTAACAGTTTTTTAGAAACACGGATATAAAAAAATAAAAAGTTCGACACTGCATATATTTTTATTAAATTCTTTCTTTTTTTTTGTTTATTTAATCTATACGCATTAGCTCTTGTTTTTATTGCATTTTCTAAAAAAATTTTCAATTCAGAAGCAAAAATCGTGCCGTTGTTACTTAATTTCGAGACATATGTAGCAACCTATTTTCTCAAAAAATTACGGGTTCGAAGAAGGGTAATTTTAATTTTTCACAGTAAAAACACTCTTGCACCGACCACAGTGCTGACGTGAAGGTTCTCGTGGTCTTCCTCTCCATGTAACGCAAATGCGGGTTAGCTCCATCAAAAAGTTCTCCACGAAGGCAAATTTCTCTCAATACTCGATCCAGGAGTTCCCCTGTCTTCTAGATTGGGTTCAAAATTACAAGACTATGGAGTTGAACATTATAATGTTCAACTCCATAGTCTTGTAATTTTTGAACTAGTATATTGAACAACTATAGTTGTCGTAAACCCATAAAATTGGGTCGGCTGTCATAAAAAAATATATAAAAAGTAAAAACGCCCTTATTTGACTGTTACTTTAAAGATTTATGTTTTGAAAGTTAATTGCATACCTGCCAACTTTCACTCTTTCCGAGAATGGATTTTCCAAGTGGTAGTAAAACA